TTTAATAGCGCCTCCAGATATCCCATACTATCTCAAGTTTAATGAGTCGTTGATGTGGGACAGTATCAAAGGCTTTTGAGAAGTCAACGAAAAGCACGTCAATAGCGTGACCGTTGTCCACCGCCTCAGCCCAAGTGTCACGAGCTACAATTTGTCAGCCATGAAAATCCCTTTCGGAATACGTGCTGTGCAGCACCAAAAATGTTAAACACATTCAGGTGATTCTCCACCAAAACCCTGCTACGCTTGTCGAGCTGACAGGCCGGCAGTTAACGGGCAGAGCGCTGTCACAGCCCTTCAGAATCGGACAGATGATTGCCTGCTTCCATTCCGAAGGTAAGGCACAACTGTAGAGCGATATTGTAAACACGCAAGTCAGAGGGCCACTTAGCTCAGCGGCCAATGCATGCATCAGCTTCGGATGAAATGAATCCGGGCCAGAAGCTTTGGAAGGATTTAGCCCTTGCAATAGCCCGAAGACTTGTGTCTCCGTTACGCAGATTTCAGTTAGGAAAGAATCCTAACGGGACTTTTGTGACCAGCTCAAGCTGAGGTAGAGGTCACACGAGAAAAGACATCAGTATACGCATACAAGCGTTATCATAGTCGGTATGCAAACGGGTCCCGTCCTCTCGTAGTAAAGCTGTTATAGACGAGTTTGTACCGCTGCACCTCTTTAGGTAAGCAAAAAACTTCTTTGGATTTGTTCTGACTGCGTCAGCCAAATCCTAATCGTACTGAAGACGAGCAGTACTAAGATGTTGCCTACATTTATAACCTTTCGATAGCTTTCTTAGGTGCTAGTTAATGTAATCAGCAGTTAGAGCGCTTCCTGAGCAGGTATTTTCTGTATGATGTATCCAACTAGGCTGTGCTCGTGTCACCCTTTTCTACCCGTAGCAACTCGTTCAAATATTTATGAAGCACACTAGTCGGAGGCTAATTGAATTTCAACATTGTAGACGCCGTTAACCTAGGGAAATTGTCCACTTTCTCGTTGAAGCTTCCTGTCTATCACTTACACATATGGATTATGTCAGGAGGCTTAGCCCTCACATACGCATAAGCGTCGGGAAGTGCAACCATGGCAACGCTCTCCGAGTTTTCTCACAAATTGACTGAACGCTTTAAAGTTTTCATAAAATAGCTTCTGTTCTGGCCTACTGTACCGTAATGGCCTCTAGACACTGATTAGCGTCAACCTTGCGTGTGAATCCAAAGTAGTTAAAGCAACCGCATCGTCGAGTGTCAATGGGACCGCTTCGCTTACTAATCCTGATGAAAAAGATGGGTTACTTTGATTAGTCTAACACACAAGTGATGCTGTGACACCTAACTGTCAATTGGGTGTATATCCATCGGAAATATACATAAAATAAAATCACCGGTTTATTCAATGAACGACTAGTAACGGGCCAAAAGCGATTGATTGACAAGTCTTGTAGGATGCCCGGTGTGGGTATTATAATATAGTGGTTTAAATGAGAGGAAAATCGGAATCTTTTGTTTTAAGGTGACGAACCGCGTTATTCAGTTGAACACATGTGCTGTTTTCCTCATCGCTATATCGCGGAGTTGACAAGGTGCCTATCTGTCTATTACCCACTACCTCCTTCATATTGGCTCCTAGAGACAGTTGGTCGTTACTGAAGGTGACGGGGTGCACGGTCCTTGTAGCTGTGCTAGGCTCGAAGAGCCGTTCCATGCACTCATTGTGGAACGGATTACGGTCCAGCCACCACGTTGTGTGCACTTGATTTCCCAAATACATCGTGCTTGTGTTTGCCTGTGAAGGTGTGTGGGCCTGCTCGGTTGATGAAACCTGGCTTCCATCCACATACCTCCCGGTCAAATTCCTTCGGGTTTACACTGGATATGGGGTGCGTGGATGGAGCTGTGGGTGGTGCAGCGCAAGCTACCCATGGTCCCTCTGTAGGCGCAGGCGTCATGTGGCTGGCCACAGTGACAGACAAATCCGAAACCGGATGCCGCCAGCCATATAGCGGAGTGGGCTGATGAGCGCAATGCGTTGATTGTGGCGGACTGGCAAATAATGGCGACAGGCGTGATTGGGGCTAGCCAGTATTTAGTATACCAGGGTAATGTCTCCCCACAGGCACCAATTTTAACCGCTGTACACGCCTAGGACCCAGTCTGTGTTGGTAGGGGATCTGAAACAGTCTAACGATTCTCATGGCACTAACAGTGTGACGCTCAGTCCAGTAGACTGGTTTGATCAGTCTATGCGGCGGAATCGCATAAAGCAGGGAGTTGGTCGGATTTGTGGAGTGAGTGATAAGCCGGATGTATTAGAAAGATTAGGTAAATTACGAAGCGTAAACTACGCAGTGATACCCATGTGTTCAAGTGAAGTAATACGGCCATCCATGGAAATGGCTCCATGGGACCTGCTTCCATCAGGGTATACCCTCGGAAGGTTTCATCCACACTTCCATGCCCCATCTGGCCATGCGCAGATGTGACGTAATAGTCATCACCTCTGTGACACATTTATAGGCCCCTTGGTTCACAAGTCAGCGTTCATTGAATACAATGTCGTCCTTTCTGATTGGTAGCGGTTACAGCTGAAAAGGTCTGTCTATATTAACAGGATGTGAATATTGTTGCAAAACTCAGTCCTTCAGGGACAAACGTTTATTCAGCAAAGTCGTCCGCGAAAGCTAGCATGTTTGCCAAACCAAACTCCTCGATATAAATTGCACCTTCAAATTCACAACTACCGACCCTTCTGAGTCGATGAGGTTCCTCCTTTGTTTCAGTTAAACAAACGGTGAAACACTCACACGAATATCAGCCAATCAGAGTCCAGTAATTGAATCCGTCACGCCCGCCTCCCATTGGCTGTCTGGCTCGCTCGGTTGGTCCATCTGCTCACTCCGGTCTGATACTACCATCACAAACATAATCCAGATATTGTCCCCATCGAATATTATCGTTTGTTAACCCAATGCCAAGACTTGCTAACACGGTGACTGCACATTAGCAGTGTTTTGAGCCATGAGATTCAATATGACGCCAAATAATTGCATTTAACTTTCAAAAGACAAGCAGAAATGCTAGTTGTAATTTTCTACCCAAACTTAAATAAATACATAAATAAATCTACTACTCCCGGCAGTGGAACGCACGCCTGCGAAGGCATGATCATGATGATACAAACAGATATGGTCGGCAATGGTATAAAAATATAGCAAGTTAACCAGTAGCATACTGGATATGTGTATGTAGATATGTGGATGGTGCCCCATGCTGAGCCCGATGTTGCGTTCTTGATGCTTCTTCACCGCAGTTGGGCTAAACCAACTTACACTTAAACTAGGTCTTTTTAAGCTGGATAAATTTCATTCCGCTTTATTTGGTTTGTTCTGCCTCCCTGAATAATGTTCTATTAACTGGCCACGTTGCTTACACTAATTGCGCTTATCTTCGGTAATTTTGTTGCGTTTGTAGCATTTTAAGTACCTTGTGGACATTTCTTACTTATCACGGATTTGTTGCTGACCAACTTACTTCATATGGCAATTTAGCGAAGAGTTATACCACCGTATCTGTATGCATTATTGGAGTTGTTTTATTTTATCTTGTCGTTCCAGGTGATTGGCTGTTGCTTGATATCCCCGGTGTGGCTGCGCTTGATGTGCATGTTGACAAGGTGCCTACCTGTCTATTACCCACTACCTCCTTCATACTGGCTCTAGGAGACAGTTGGTCGTTGCTGGAGGGGATGGGGTGCACGGTCCTTGTGGCCGGGCTAAGCTCAAAGAGCGGTTCCCAGAACTCAGTGTGGAGCGGACTACGGTCCAGCCAGCGCATTGTGTGCGCTTGATTCCCCAAATAGAGCGTGCTTGTGTTTGCCTGTGAAGGAGTGTGGGCGGGCTCCGTTGATGAAACCTGGCTCCCATCCACCTGCCTCCCGGTCTTATTCCTTCGGGTTTACACTGGATATGGGGTGTGTGGATGGAGCTGTGGGTGGTGCGGCGCAAGCCCCCCGTGGTCCCTCTGTAGGCGCAGGCGTCCTGTGACTGACCACAGTGACAGGCAAATCCGAAACCGGATGCCGCCAACCATATATGTTGATGAAACGTGGCTCCCATCCACATGCCTCCCGGTCTAATTCCTTCGGGTTTAGACTGGATATGGGGTGTGTAGATGGAGCTGTGGGTGGTGCAGCACAACCCATCCATGGTCTGTCTGTAGACGCAGGCGTCCTGTGGCTGGCCACAGTGACAGGCGAATCCGAAACCGGATGGCGCCAACCAAGTATATGTATAAGTGGACATGGTGAGGGAAATTGTGCTGTGACTGAATTCGTGAGTTTGTTTGCTGTGTTCGCCATCGTATGAAAGGATCGAAGGAACACTTCGAACTGGATGATGTTCATGGAGTGGGGAAGATCCTCCGGAAGGGGAAGAGGCAGTGACTTTATTTAGTGGCGAGTCACATCCGCCACGTCGCAGTGTTGTTAAACGGACCCTTGTGGCTTATTATAGGAATAAAGTTTGCCAGGCGGAAACTTACCACCTCGTGGAACACTGCCGCCAAATTATTCGCTGGAATGGGATTAACCCGAACCACCTAGCTGGCACCACGTGGAGGTTGTTTGGCAGGCCAGCCACGAAGCACCTTACTCGATGGAGATGTTTTATTAGTCAATAGAATATGAATCATACGGAGTTATTTATACTCACACACGGTTCGAAGTTAACCGCTGTGCTACCATAGGCATTCAATTTAGGGTACGTTAGCAAACTGAATGATCATGCTCGTTATCTGCTAGAATTCACTCCTGAAACTACTGCAGTACAAAGTGGTTTAGTACAGAGTAGTTCATCAATTTGTTGATCAGGTATAAGCTATATATGGTTCAGTGCTGTCAGTAGCTATCTTAACTTTGTGAGACGCGCCAAATGCTGCTGGTTACATGTTTTACATTTGTGGCTAAGGTCTAACATAGTACGCTTTTCGTTTTCTGTTTTCAGGATGGTATTCCGGACAGCATAGATAAGGACGATGATAATGATGGTATTCCTGATCATAACGATCCGGATGCCGATGGAGACGGAGCGCATGACCTTTTCCATGATAGTGATAAGGATGGGGTACCCGATAGCCTGGATGACGATATGGATAATGATGGCATCGCAGATCATCTGCAAGATCATGATTGTGACGGTATCCCGGACATCATTGATCCGGATGATGACAACGATGGTTACTTTGATAACAAGCAGGTATGTGACGCCATCTTGAATTATGACACAAGAAATCAAGTAAAGCTCCAATGTCATTGAATTCGAATGCAATGAGACAGGATTCTCAACCGCATGTATCTAATTATATGCGTTTATTTAAACACGATGTCATGACAAACCACCGCTAACGATTGTCGAAAACGAATATTTTACTGGATGTGACATGCATAGTCAAAAATACTGACTTAGAAGTTTGAAATGTAGTTCCTGAAGCCACACCTTTGAGTCCTATCTTCACGCCACTCTCAAGCAGAGCTACACAATAGACTTAAAAGTCACTCGTATAATTGTTTCGCGATTCAAAGATCTCTATGCGTGCAGTAGCATTCAAACGGGAAGAATACATTCACCTTCAAACCAAACTGATAATAATGGATATTTACTTGCTTATGAGACGTTTTTAATTATTACTTATAATCATATGAAGCTTCATTTAGGTCTCGGAGTTGTGTATGGTTGCTTAAACAGCGTCTACTGATTGATTGGCTGCAAAAGCCTTAAACGGTTTGCAAGTTCCCTTTAATTCAAATGTCATTAAGACATGTTAGAATGCGTCCGATCAATAGATGGCGTTATCGGTCTTCTGTCGACAGACCACCCCAAAGTACATTGTCTACTTCGCCGTTAGTTCTGCGGATGCAATCACGAATTCGCAAAAACCTCTGAAAGCTGTTTCTCTGAATGAGATTACTATTTCTGTCGATCTCTTGAGTTATTCCAGTTACAAAGAATACGACAACCGCCTCACCATCGCAGAAATTTTTATCAACACATTCAAATCCGTCTCGTGATTGAGCTACTTCAATTGATTCAGGCGCCAGCGGGTTGGGCGCTTCTACACTCGTGTTGTTAACAAATAGTCACCCGAATAGCTAGCCGGTATGACCACGGGCCACAAGGCTTGTGCAATCAAACCGAAGGTTTAGCACACCATCGAAGCCAGCTATGATATCCTCTTCACTATAGTACACAGTGCACGGCAGTAGCAGCTCAGGCTCATCAGCTGGACTCGGCGGATGTAGGACCACTGCCACATTGGGTCACCAGTAAACAGGACAAATGCACTTCCGGACGATGTGGTAGTGCAGCTAGTTACGTGACACCAATGACCACTTCGTTTGATGTGCACTGTGTATGTTCGATGGCGCAACGTCGGAAGATTCAACGTGCAATGCTGTCAAGACAAATCGTTACGCGGCATAGTGCTACTATAGGTTCGTAGGGGAGCGGTAGGGGAATTCGAATAGTGCAAGTAGAAGATCCTCACAACTAAACTCAGTCAGACAGCCATCACAAACCCGGAACGGCACTGTACGGCCGTTTCATCCCTTGCGTTCAACACACTGACCAAATTGTTTATAATGCCCTTAATTGTCGTCTAAGTGATCGTGATGGGGCTGCCCTGTCCGTTGTACGGCAATAACCTGCAGGTCAGCGACATTATGCCAAATCTAGTAACTTTGTCAAATCAGTCGTTAGGTTTCCCATTGGCCCAGTGTTCTTCGCCACTGACTGGCAACAGTCGGGTTACTTGTTCTAGCCCCATAGGGGCCAGATAAAATGCGCACTGCTGACGATCACCAGAAGGATGAAATGACTGTACAGTGCTTTTTCAGGTGCTTGATGGCTGTCTGTTTGAGATTAGATGTGATGGACTTATGCTTACTCCAGGTTTGTTAGGTGTAGTCACAAGGTTAGTATCACCTGCTGCTCTGTCGTCGATGAAGGTCAACTACTGTCAAATTTTAAAGCGGTCTCGGATAGAACTGATTCCCGTTCACAAGTATGCATTTCAACAGCGATTGAACGGTGGATATTTGGACATCGGGAACATGTGAAACATCAGCGGTACGTTAGCACTCAGCAACAGCTGCCAATCAGGAATGCTATTCGACAGTGACCTGGAACATTTCACTTGGTCTGTACCCCTAATAAGTGGTGGTCGTAGCCAAAAGTTGTGGTGCACCGGTACTGAGTAGTAACGGGGGGAAATGAGCAGGCTCATTGGTTCATTGGTTGGTAGATAGCAGAAGGAATTTCTTTTGTCACCTCCGTCACTTCCCGATCGTTGCGAAGGTTGCTGGGATCATTGAGGAACAAGGTTCCGCAGAAGACCGATGTGGTTGTATGGGAGCAGCAAAATCTCTGCGCACTCAGAGCGAGAGGGAATCCAACAGTCGTTTGAAACATTCCTCTGTCTTCGCATCGACGACAGCCTCTGGCAAGCTGTTCCAGTCTTTCACTACCCAGGTGGATAGGGCCAGATCGGACCGCACACGGATTCGCCGCAGTTTGAAAAGTTTCCACAGGTGGCCTCAGGCTGCACACTTTGTATTGAGACGAAAGAACGATTGCAGTTCAGTCCCCAGCTCATCTCGTAGAATACGCCGCGGCGACCACGATAGTTCAAAGGGAACACGTTCAACTGTTGAAGCCGTAGGGGGTAAGATAAGTCCCGCAACTCTGGAACGGATTTGGATCCACGCCATTGAACCTTCTCGATATCTCACCTTCGGATTTGGTGAGAGAATACGCATCATGCCATCCGTACTCGAAAATTGTGCGTACATGCAAAGCAAACAGTAATCTGAAGAGTGCTGAAGTCAGGCGTGAGAAGGCTCTCCGTATAGCGTGAAGTATTCTGTAGGCGGACTCGACCCTCTTCTGGGTGTCCTCGATTGATTTGTGATCAGAAGACAGAAACACCCCGAGATCCCTCTCCTGGTTGATATTTCTGAGCAAGAAACCCCCGATATAGTAAGCCCTAAAAGGTTCAGGAGCACAGATTGGAAGGACAGCGCATTTGTCACGGTTAATGGGCAACTGCCACCATATTAACCAATCATGGAACAGCTCGTGTGTCGCTTGAAATGTGTCTGCATCTTCCAAACTGGATATCTCAATCCACAGCTTCAGATAATCCGTGTAGATTAAGCAGTCGGTCTGAAGTTCGGATTGCAGGTCGTTGATAAAGATATTGAAGAGTTCGGGGCCGAGTACAGTACTCTAGGGTCCCCACTAGTCATAAGAATTTGAGCAGGTATTGTCCTAGGTAGAATATCCTCACAATAACGTTCCACAGATCACCCGTCAGACATAGCTGTTGATAAATAACAATGAAGTTTGCATTGTATAAATAGAAGACTCGCCTGACTGAGCTGTGCCCGTACCCAAATCATTTTAGATTAAGTGCCTCATTCCAGTTGTTGATTTAGTCGACCGCTTACTAGTTTCGAGGAAATTGTTTAATCTCCCTTAGGCAATAAGGTCATCGGCGTGCAATAGTAGTGACGTCTTCCAGCCCCAGTTATTAGTATAGAACTCAGTGTCCTTCTTTCCATGTTGTTCATAACCACAAAGACTAATTTCTTTCATGTGGGTAAAACATACCACTCCAACAATCCACACTGGGTTCGATGGTCTTGGCCAGTCACACCACATCGCAGCCACGGAGTTGCCAGTTCGGTTGACTGAGAAGACTTCTGTGGATCAAGAAGCCCCCTGTTTTGCGGTTTAGTTAGTTCGTCGCAACTAGGTTACTAGTCAGAAAAATCAATTACCAATCCGGACGAGCACCAGAAGCCGGTTTCCTCCTCTTTGAATTCGTCGTCAGCGCGCATTCCATCGGTCCCCTTCAGAAGAACCGCACCCATGAGTGTTAGTGGCTCGGACCAATAACCGGCAGCTTATGTCACTGAGTCATGGGCGATGACAACCGACCTCCATGGAGTGGAACCTACGCGCGCCTGGCGTACATCCGTTTGCATCTAAGCACTGGCATACGTTTCCTTTAGACTGACTCTCCCAACAGCGCATGTATCTAGACGTTAGGGGAAATGTTTACTTGAGATATATATTTTGCGACAATTCGTAGCTAGAATCATCCATTTTCGTTGCCTAGATCCGTTGACGTATTTTAGCGTAATATTCTGCCATTCTTTTTGGTCGTCAACAGTTGTTGCTTCTGGTGGATTATCACAGTTCCTCGCAGATTGGCTCCATTAATTACTCCTCGTTTAATTTGCCTGGTTGGTGCGTTATGCGCCTGTGCTCTTATTGGCTTACTCAGTCTGGTTTTTTCAGCGTCTCGGTTGATCTTGACTGCTGTTGGCATGCTATTTAACAATGCTATGTTCTAAGAAACAGTGTTCTTCATTCTCCTCTTGGTATTCTTGTTGCCGACGTGGGTTTAGGCAGCTGGGGGTGACATAACACCAGGTTTTACCTGTGACTGTTTTGTGCCATGTACCAAACCTACAACCAAAAGCAGACAAAGAACATAACTGCAGCGGATAAGTAATAGTATCTACGTCCGTTTCCTTATTTTTTGGCTACTGTCGCGCAGGATGATTTATTGCTCTTGTATTGATTAATCAAGATTATTACTATAATCATTATTGCCATTATTATCATGGTAAGGTGTGCTCAAGTCACTGGATTCACTATACCGTGGCACACCCATTTAATAATGGTAGAGAATCGGAGGTAGCAGTTCGAATAAGGACTGTTTGAATCACAACTGCTACATGCTGGTTATCCTGCGAATCAGACCATTCCACAGAACCGACAAATAGGTTACCACTACAGTCAAGGGTTGTGCACGTTGACTAAAGAACGCATTTTTTGTGGCATTTAGTGCGAGTAGTAACTATTGTTCTCAAGTTAAGTCAAAAATTCTATTGTGTGCACCCGATTGCAATAGATCCTAAGGAAACAACAAATTTGTTTGCCAGTTTAAACCTCTCGCGGTCACTTTGTTTCCTTCTCCAGGACAGTGATAACGACGGCGTTTTAAACGAATGGGACGACGACGATGACAATGATGGCATTCCAGGCAAGCTCGTCTAAATTGTTTACTTTCAGTGGCTCAACAACGGTGACAGTTAATATCACGCCTTCATACAGTCCAGATCTTGATTGCGGTAACAACCCTTGATCGTGCGATGATGGCTTAACAGATGAACAATTGATGCAGGTTCCATTTAGGCACTCTTGTCTATCCAACTTGATCCAAGAGATTCGTAGTAAAATCTATCTAGGTGTTTCTGCTTAAGTGTTGAACTTCGGCGGAACTAGTAAATCGTAGTGACGCGGCTTGCCATTGTGAAAGTTACTCACTTCCCGAAAAGTATTAGGTCGTTTCAAATAAAAGGTTAGAATATGAACAGTCCCATCGCTCATTCGCATCGTCACAACTGCTGAGTCAGAAAGTAGGCCGTTTCACTATAATAAAACACGGTCTCAGGCGTAGAACTAAGGGCGATAGGAAGTACAAATGCTACTGTTAAACCGTGATACTGGAACAACAATTTAAACAAGGCAAAACCATAGACTTACGAATAGGTGAAACGACATTTGAACAGTAGCAAAACCAAGTATAGTTCAGATAGCAACCATTAAGGACACAGTAAAAAGTAACCAAAGATGTGAACAACTGTAAGATTTAGTGCTTAAAAAACAGCTGAAGAGAACGAACAATGAGCAAAACTGAACTCTAAATCAGTAGCAAGAATCAGCCGTCGGATAACGGACGATGAAAGATAAAATTTGCTATCAGAAATCTAAGAATTAACAAGCTACTCAATAATTGTTAGTAGAATAACCTCTTCCGTGAATTTAGAGTTCAGACTCCTCGATTACAAACATGCAACCAAGGGTAGGTATTGCAAAATACAACGTCATGGGGCTCAACTGATACCCAACCAGAAGCGGACTGTGTCACTTCGCGCCACGCAAGTTTGGTTCAAATAAAAAGCCAGTTGCTTCTGTACACATTGCCGGTCGCTTGTGATCGTTAATAATGGCTTCGAGGAGCTTGAGAATTCATAGCTCTTTACTGTGCATGAAACTGTAGATGTTACATGGGAGTCGACTGTGACCAGTGGGCAGTAACTGCTCCATGATTGCTATGGAATCCCTGTTTCTCCATTCACCCGGTTCATTAATCGGAGCTTTCACCAGTTATTTCGTGACTTCTAACATCTGAGTTTCGATCAACGCGGCCAAATAGGCTCCACTATTACAGGTGAATAGTTATAAACCAGGACATGCGCCGCTTTGTCATCGTAGCCTTGATACAACACTCAAGCAGGGGTCCAGTGGAACTCAGTAACAGTAGTTCATGAATGCGCTCATCTTTTTTGCGATAGACTTCGTGATGTGATTATTCTCGTTTTACTGTATCATCTTACTGGGCCTTATGGTGGCGAATGACTCGGTATAGGACATGCCATCAAAGGTGACTGAGTTCGTCCAAATCCATTCCAGGCTTAGTCTGTTCACGTAAAGAAACCAAGAAAATAACTACAGTATCTTGTTTATCTTGCACTAAGCAATAAAGGAATAGTCGTTTGCGATGCAGAAGACTGCACTTTGAACTTATGTGTTCCACTCATATCACATCCTACTTGACTGGTCATGTTTTGGTCTTTTGTTACCTGTTTTATGCCAGTATTTCAGCGCACTGACACGTCACATAAGTGGGACTTCCCTGTATCTATCTGCTACGCACAATATTTGCTGGTATTTGCCATGGCCTGTAAGTTGCAATCTCGTCTCCTGATCCGGTCGAATGAATGCGTACAGTTGGTACGACCCAAATTGAAAATTCAACCATTCATGTTCCCCATAGCTTCACCGGTAATCGGGTTAGATAAAATGTAAACAGAAATATATCATCTTTGTTGAGTCTAAAGTAGGAAGATACACTAAGTGAGCGAAGTCCAATTTAGTTAACCCATCTTTTCTCAGAATTTTTCATCATCCATGTGTGGATAAATAATAAAACTCGAAAGCCTTCGAGTCTGTTATCCCACTTTTCGATTTTAGACAAAGAAGATCCAGACTCTAACGGAGATGGTGTCATCGACTGTCAACCACGCGACTCAGACGGAGATGGAATTCCAGACCATCTGGATGACGATGATGATAATGATGGGATCCCTGATCACCGAGATCCGGACTCCGTATCATTTCTGCTATACAAGCACAAACGATTCCTAGAAGCGATTCCAGGTAGACCAGCAAATAATCACTAGTAATTAGGGTTTGTCGGTATCACGAAGTAAAGTTCACCTAACCGAAGTTTCATGCAGAAACAAAACATATGTGCGAAAATTGCGAAAATATTACTTCATAGAAACCTGGAAGCTTGCGTTACCTCCAGTTGTTGTGCAGTTGGCCTTTTGGATTAGAGAAAATTGCAACCTAGTGCGCAATACGCTACAAACTCTCTCTTATGTCTTCACGCGGTTTATTTTGGATGTGTATCTCTTTCGAACATTCACGAAGAACGATCCATTAGTTCCTTGTAGCGAAAGAAAATAAATAGACACAATTGATTTGTCTTCAATATGGATGGCTACCATCCTAAAGCGTCGCCTGACTTCCCTAATTGCAAGTTAAAGGTTATCAAAGCAGTCAGGCTAGCATGTATGGCAGGAAGTCCCACCTGGTTTGTAGAGGAGGCGATTAGTCAGCTCGTCGTTTACCGTTTCACGTGCTCAAAGGGTATTGACCCCCCTGACTCATCACTATAAACAACCACCAGTGACAGATGCCTTTTGTTCAAGTAGTTGAGTAGGAGCGTTTCCATTCGGGTTTGTAAACTGATTCCGTTGTTGAAACATCTTGGTTCAAAGCACGGTAAACCGCACCCAAGGAAACAAACATCTGGGATCTGTCCTAGCACTAGAAAGTAACCCAGACTGCCGCTTAACTACCGTCACAAATACAAAACGACTAAACCACACGATGGAAGGTGGGACCATTTAAGCCTTCAACCATTAACCAATATAACAGTGTTCAAGAATGTAGTGATTCCGCACGAAATACGCACGTAATGTCATTACACCGAAGTTAGGCTGATGGGCGTCTTCATCGTCATCTATCTTTCGTCTTCCTTTCTTTTCCCCCGCTCAAGTTGACAGACACGGTAATCATCATGTACGATTGCATATTTCTCCGATACGCGAGCAATCCAAGGGATCCATGATTTCCAAACGCGATTCTCCTAATGGTTCACATCATCTCATTAGTTTTGTTCTTGTCTGGCGTGCTTAGTTTGATATTTACTGCAGTTGTGCATGCAGGTTATCCAGAACAAGGCTTGACAGTAGATGATTTGTTGCATGGATATAATATTGTGGCTTCTACTTTCTGCAATATTACACTACTCACGAACCCACAAATAATCTAAATTTACCATCGTCCTTTGAACATCTGAAGGACACACTTCGGTGCATTGGGAAGTGACGAGTGAGTGAGTCAATCTGCACCACCAAGACAAGTACTGTGAGCTTACTGGCAATACGTCGCGGACCAAGCAGAAGTCATGTATTAAATTGCCCAGCTGATCGTCAGTTCTCGGTAGCTCAGTTGGTAGAGCAGCTGACCTGTTCTCCGTATGTCCGAGGTTCGATTCCCCACCGAGGCAGATTGTTGTGCAAAGCTTAATCGTAGCTTCTACTTTCTACAATATTACACTACTCACAAAATCATCATTAATATAATGTTGCGTGTAAGTCAGGAAGTATTCCCACAATTTTTGGTAGGGCTGTACAAGAATATAAACTTTGTGGCGTTCCCACCCAAAGGGATTGATGTAGTAGACGATGAGTGAGGTCGATAAACAGTTATCTTGTGGCACCACTGTTATTACAATTGCCGGAAGTTAAACCTTCTGTTCATTTGTGACTGTAGGATTTCGAGTAGCAGCACCCCCCCTTCATGAAATCCCATGTAAGGATAGTGTCCACAAACGTTTCTTTGCGACGGCAGAGCTCATACAGTAGATGGACGACAGAGACAAAAAGGCAACAACAGCCCGTCGGCCACTCGTGCTAGAAAAGCCTTCTGCTTGTGATTGTCCCGCAATGGGATATTGGTAATATACGGTACACAGTTTAGCTACCGCTGCTCCCTATACACACAGAGCCATAGTTAATGGGAACTGAGGATTATCAAGGGATCAATGGTTCAATGGTGTATGATGGGATAAAAAGCATAACTTTACAAGACCCACAGGATGGATATGCAAAAGAAAATTAAAATCAAAATGTTCCAACGTGGAACGTAAAGTATCAGTGGTAAAATCATTGCACTTTAACAAAGTGTTGTGTATCGTTTATCACTAAGATGAAAATCTAAGAGTCTTTCGAATGTCGTCATGTCTGGTGCGTTCACCACATAGTTTGGTAATGCATTCCAGTGAGAAAAGATTCTAAGTGAGAAAAAATACTTTCTACAATTCAAACGAGAGTGTTGCGTCATTAGTTCCAGGTGGTTGCCTCGGTTTTGTTTGTATGGGGCTAGAGTCAACAGTGATGTACATGGATGCTCGCTTTCGGTTAGTATCCGGTATGTGAGAGTAAGATCTTCGCGAAGCCGTCGGTATTCTAATGAGAACACGCCGAGTACACGAAGACGCATTTCGTAACTTATACCGGATAGTCCACGCGTTGCTTTTGTGGCTCTTCTTTGGGGCTGTTCCAAGAGGCGGATGTCTCGTTTTAACCATGGACACCAGGCCTGAATTGCATATTCAACATGAGGACGAATGTAGGAGTTAATCAACAATGGTACTAGCTGTCGCTCAAAAGTGCCGAGAGCTCGCCTCAAAAGTCTCAAGTTCAAGTTCGCTACACTTGCTGCTTTCGAACACTGGAGCAAATTTCCAAGACTCTCTTGCACGATTATACCTAGGTCGCGTTCACTAGTCACGTGTTGCATGACATGTTGCCCCAAAAGGTATGTGTTAACGAAGCTGTTGTGCACCGTCAGCAGGTGGCACTTTGCAGCGTTCAGTGGGAGCTGGTTCTTTTCTGTCCATTCGTTAATCCGGGTCAGATCTTCCTGGAGGTAGACATGGTCGGATGCTGAGCGAATAGCTCTCCATATTTTAGCGTCGTCTGCAAATATTTGCATTGGAGATAGAATGTCTGCTGGAAGGTCATTGATGTAGACTAAAAATAGTAGCGGGCCGAGGACGGATCCTTGTGGAACACCACTGGAGACGTAAAGGCTTTCGGAATAGGTGACAGCTACTCTTACCTTGATTGCTCTGTCGTGTAAGTAGTCTTCCAACCAAGTGAGCAGGGAACCGTTGATACCGTAGGCAGCAAGCTTTTGGAGGAGAAAGAAGTGATTGACCCTGTCGAATGCTTTAGAAAAATCCAGGTATATCACATCTATGGGGACTTCTTCATCAGCCGCCCTGGTCCATAAGTCCCGAGTAATCAGCAAATTGGTGAGACAAGATCGTCTGCGTCGGAACCCATGTTGGGCATTAGAAATTATCAGTTGACTTTCAAAGTATCGCGTCAGTTCATCTGCGATTACCGATTCCATCAGTGTTCTTTCATGGGGAACTGATATGTGTTCACCACAACTCCACAGTGTTTGACCAAGCTGGAATTTTACCGTAAAATAAAAGTAGTCAGTTGATAAATGTTTAGAATTCGGTGCTGTCTTATGCTATTTTTCAGGATCTGCAACCAAAACTGGGGGGGGGCGGGACTTCACGTTAGATATGAAGCGCATGCACAGATGGAACCAGACCCAATTATCAGACTGTGCACTCCGGTCTCCTCGAATTGCCATAGAAATGAACCGAGTGTCTTTTTTGTAGCTTCAATTTTATGCATGAACTACCTACTAATCCGGGTCATAGTAGCTTGAGCTTTTTATATCCTATTGTATCTCACGGGCCGTCTGCATTTTCCCCTTTAGCGATAGCCACATTTATTTGGTTATTGCTGTCATTCTTTAAGCAGTATCATTTTTGTTCATAACCACTTAGCTGAGATCGCCCGAAACGAGGCTAATCTGATGAACGTGGACCTCGGCGATCCGAATGATAAGGATTGTGACGGAATTCCGGATCACTTGGATAATGATCAGGACAATGACGGAAAAATCGATCGCACCCAGGACTCCGACATGGACGGTCTGTTGAATCACGTGGATGAGGACGATGATAATGATGGTGAGCGACTTTCGTTACACGTACCCAGGCGTTCGTCGTACGCAAACCATACACTGATTCGGCTCTGGTTTGGTTGATTAGCTGGACCAAGTACACAAGAGCGTCGCAGGGTTAGCGACTTCAGGGACAAACGGTTTATTCGACAAAGCAAGTTCAGCGAAAACGACAACATTACTGGCTTATAGAAGTTTCGATGGAACTAACTAAGTCACGTCCACAACTAACGACACACAGACTGTGAGGAACGATTACCCACTTACGATGACATGTCCCATTTGTGAGCCCTGCAATACCGTGAGTCAGCTATTTTAAATATTATATGAGAACGATAACTAGATTCACGGCGCGCAATTTTTATAACGTTTATCATCATATTTCGAAAGAGTTGTACAGAATTCATTTCTATTTGCTCTATAAAATACAGTATTCAGTATACCGAGCGCACTCCAAAATAACGGGTCATCATCATCATCAAATCGATATACGTTAAATGAGGAAGAACACACGTCGACTATTGTGCGCAATCCAAGAGATTATAGAAAACAGGTTAAAAAAATAAAAAGTAATAAAATGCTAAGTCATATTATGCGTGGATGAGATCATTGTTAGAGAGGAGGGGAAGGACAAAGAGACTCAAAACACAAGCACCCTTGAGTTCGGCTGTTTGCTATGTCAACAAGTGTATCCAACCAGACGTGTTCAGCGTTAGAAACAGATGAGCTGACGTCTCTTCGGATGGACAAGCTCGTCGACAGGGCAGGAGTGACGCTCCGCGTTTAAGTGGAGTTGCAACTAGATAACAAACGCTTAGAAAAGCAAGATGGGGGAGGACCGATTTGGGCGGTTGAAAACAGGGGATAAAAGTGAAGTTGGAGCGGAACGCTAGAGATAAAAAGGCGGAGGCGTGAGCAGTAGTACCCAAACCCCTATCCACCCTGCTCCATGCAGCAGATACGGCGCCGTTGATTATCCTCTGCGACGGGCAGAGCATCAAGAAAGTGTCCTTTTCAAGCAGAAGCAGTGTTTCAGCGTTATGGATAGGCAGGGAAGTTGACGATCACTTAAACGTTGGGATGAAACGCTCCACACCAGCCTGCCGAATTCCGCTTGGTTGTGGCCCAAGTCACTGCCCTGTAAAATATTACTCCTGTATTTAAAGTTCACTGGATTTGAAAAGAATTGCGTTGTTGATAACTCGAAGACTCCGATGTGATTGCACTCAAGTATAGAGAATTTCCGAAAAAGTATGCGCTTGGGCTCGTCACAAATTGGCAATAGTATTGCAGTTCTTGGTCTCTCATATCGATGCTGTGACTTCAGCACCAACGCATTAGAGACTACTGACAAGTGTATTGTGAACTTGCAAATATTCAAATCCATCGAGCGAGAAATTGGGGGATGGGTGCTACTGCGGTGTAGATGAGATACGCTAGAGCATCAACGTTCCTCTTCCTCGGTAGATCGTGAGGGGGGGGGGTAAATAAGTCAATAATCACTGAGGGGACCAAGTGTGAAACGAGTGCACAGGAAAACATCTTTGCGATGAACTTCGGGAACAACTCAAGGGAAGGTGGCAGAGGTGTAAAGTGTACGTGAAAAGTGCATGGTGATAAACTGACCTATCCAAAAAAGAGCCTACTCAATTTTGTTGAATTTGTGTCGTTAAAGCGGGACAAAGAATTTATTCAATAAACGTGACAGACAGTATACGATGTGTGTTGGACAGCACTCACAAACATACGTAAGTATTGCGGTTGGATTCTCACGAGATACAATTCGTGGTGAAATTGCATCCATCGAAGGAGCTTCGCAATAGATTACTAGACGTTTTGACCCGTTCCAATGAGTTTCAATCCACATTGAAATGGCGTCGCTGCATGGGCTGAACCTCGTTTGATCGGCATAGAAGCACGCGTTTTGAGACAGCCCTCCTATCAAAGCTCTGGAATTCTGCAGATGCATCTGATTGCTCTCACAGTCAGTGAAAGTGCAAGACGCCAATCCGCTGCACTGGATGATCGAGGCTAAAAGTAATTCCAATCGCCTACATTCCGCCGAATCCCCGCTTTCGCACGAGTAACCTGAGTTCACAGGCGCAACTATCATTGAACAGCGCTGACGAGCTATACGCTCCTTGACTGATAAAGGCAATCTATCTCTTCGCTGCACGATCGTTCGCTTGCGGCAGCACAGCCTGAAGCATACGACCTCCCCGGTCGCGTTGACGCAATATTCTTCCATCTACCCCTTCCACTACCATAGCAACGTGCACCATTTCCGTTCATCGCCTAATTACCGATAACAATACCGTCTTCATGAAATACTCGTGCCTTCATATCAAATAAATCCCGAAAACACTTAACTCAAACTAGGAATACAACACCTAATCACCTTGTTCTGGTATTGCCTTAGGCGAATCTCACGTAATACTTCCGTAATAATATTAGCCCGCTTTGTCGAGTTGTCTAGTCCGTCACATTAACAATACAGATACTTCACCATGGTCACTCTCAGACAGCAGGCTTTAGCAAGACTGGAAAAGCACCATACACCGGTGTTTCGACCTTCTGGGTCTTCTCAGGGGTGCGCCTTACAGTGGACCCCTACCTAGTTCCGCCACTATGACCCCCGGATGCCAGCAGTTAGTGCCACTTCGCCATGGGTGATAACCGCGGACCTGCATGAGTGACAGTTGACTATGATATAGTCCGGCTCATCTTCCACTGCCATGCCAGTTACGAACTGTGCAGGACAGCGGCTAGCCCCACGAGCAAGGACGTTCCGCATAGCGTCTTGGCACAGCACAAGCACTTGAAGCTATACGGACAGATTTTTATATTACTGAGAATGAACATCATGATTATCAGAATTATACCAAAATCCTCACTACTCATTATTAGCATAAATAATAGTTTCGGTAAACATGTCACGAAAAGGAAATCTGTGCAGTCTTATCATCTCAGTTCTTTTTGTCATAGATTCCTTGTTGTGGATAACTTCGAGAATTTGTGTTTCGGTGCAAACCAAGGGTTATAAACAGATCGATGATCAAATGCTTATTTCCACGATCTCATCACTAGCATCGCTGCAAACGAGCAGATTCCCACATTCACTATACATTGATCGCGAGGTACATCTCATTTTAGGGGAAAATATACATTATTATTTGTGGTAGTAATAGTAAACCGTGCAAAAAAACCCACAGGCAACCGACAGGTTCATTACCGATCCGAGTTCGGCCGCCACGAACAAGTTCACCGTTATTCCGCAGCAGACCAGACTGACGAATCCTGCCGCATGGATCGCTTTCACAGAGCCCCACTGCACCAAACGTTTACGTTACCTGTAAGTGGAAACAGTACCGCCATTGTTCAACCCCACGTCGGCAAGGCGCGCAAAAAGCCTCAGGAAAAGTAAGATCCTAACTAATGTTCAAACAGCTCTAGCAAGATCATCAAAACTGGAGTGGTTATGTAGTCAAATGGTAAGACTGGAAGTGGGGGAGTGCATCAGTGTGTTTAAATGCATAAATCAGCAGTGATTAAAGATTCGTTTGATGTGGTAACAGCCAACACAACCGCGTGCTGAGGTGCTCGTTGCGATCCGGCGCGTCCGTCCATTGACAAAGCTTAGGTGCTACGGATTCGTATTAAGTGTTCATGTGGATCGAGCATCTCCCTTTCTAGGTGATGTTTATCCCGGCTGACTTGCGATACAATTTCTGGTTTGCAAATACTACTTATCAATCGCAAGTAGTCCATACACGATGTATCGTGTCTGAAAAGTTGGAGATGTCCGCAGTACGTACGCCGGAAGCGGCAAATTGGGCGGCTATATCTGCAGTTGGTGAGAAACGCAAAGCGATACAACTTCAAGACAAAATAAACGGGAAACTGGAAGCCGCGGGTTTGGTTACAGGAAAAGCCTTGGCGTTTGCTGATGGGAAAGGAACGGAACTTGACCTAAACCGAAGGTAAAAAGTTCTGTTCCACTAAACCCCTAAAAGGTTGCGAATTTTACAAGATATTTTATACGGGGAAAACAAAATAGGTGTTACAGATAAATGAGGCCGCGAATTCAATCCGACACTATACACCTACGTGTAAGGAGAAATTGACCTAAAATAGATCGATTTATGGTTACCATAACCATCATCATTCTGCACGTCAGCTCGAGGTAAAGAAGACCCTAGCTGTAGAAAAAAGGGAACAAAAAAGCACCACGCATCGAATTAAGATCGTGGTGTCGGAGGAATTAGAATTAGAAGGGAAATGCGAACGATAATGATGTCAACCCTTAATGTCGACAAGTGTATCCACCAACGGGCCGCATTCATGGTCTTTCGGACCCCAACTCCCAAATGGGAAATGAGAGTCTTGACTACTCGAGATTAAATTATCGGCTGGTAGCCTTCTTTCCTCGATTTATACCTCGGTCGCACAAATAACGCAAGCCCCGGAACTCTGTATATTGGCCTCTGAAAAATACGGCCGTTATCGGAACCTGATGCGTGAAATAACGGGACTGATCAGTCCACTACCTGTATCTCTGGGCCATAAGACGCATAAGCAGCGTTTTCTCATCAAACAAGGGGCAAAATGTGAAGACATTGGCGGAAGAACACAAGTAGTCTCCTCACGTCTGTTGATTTGATGGAGTTAAACGGAAGGCCGCATTGCAGACTCTACTTTTAAGGGTAAGAGTAATGTCGCGCCAGCGCGCAAACGTGGCGCAGTTGAGCAAAAGCGCCTCAAGCGTTCGCTATACGTTTTGTCATTAAATCTACTATTTTAGAGGCGCGAACATATCTTGCAAGTTGAATTTTGCAACGACTTTTAGTTGAACTCACCGGTGTCAACGCAAGTGGTGGCCCTTACAAATACGAGAGCAGTTTTGCTTCTCAAAAGCAGCCCGAAACGAGTGACTGCAAGGCTGATTGGCATGTTTGTCAGTTGTCGCAGATCAGACCAATCTAGTCAGTATACTGTAAGTCGAGAAGCCGATGACCCGGAAGCCACTAAGCGCCTTCTAAGTCATTTTTGGTGAACACAATTCCCACATTGTCAACCAAGCAGTT